GATGTAGGTGAACTTGTTGTTGTTCATTCGTTCAGTCGTCTCCGACTCTTCGTGACCTCATGGACCAACCCACGCCAGAGCTCCCTGTCAGCCGTCACCACCCCCAGCTCCTTCAAGGTCTGTCCATCCATCTTGCCCTTGGTAGGTGAACTACAACTCCCAAAACTCAATGTCAATGCCCACCAAACCGTTCCAGTATTTTCTGTTGGACATGGGAGTTCTGTGTGCCAAGTTTGGTTCAGTTCCATCGTTGGTGGAGTTTAGAATGCTCTTTGATTGGAAGTAAACTATAAATCCCAGCAACTACAACTCCCAAATGACAAAATCAATCTCCCTGAACACCACCAGTATTCAAATTGGGGCGTATCGGGTATTTGTGCCAAATTTGGTCCAGTGAATGAAAATCCATCCTGCATATCAAGTATTTACATGACAATTCATAACAGGAGCAAATTACAGTTTTGAAGTAGCAATGAAAATAATGTGATGGTTGGGGGTCACCACAACATGAGGAACTGTAAAAAGGGGTCGCAGCATTGGGAAGGTTGAGAAACTCTGTTGTAAAACTACAATTCCCAGAAATAGGAGCATAGGGTCTAGATCTAGGGAAGTAATGCTACCCCTCTATTCTGCTCTGGTTAGACCACTCCTGGAATATTGTGTCCAATTCTGGGCACCACAATTCAAGAGATATTGACAAGCTGGAATGTGTCCAGAGGAGGGCGACTAAAATGATCAAGGGTCTGGAGAACAAGCCCTATGAGGAGCGGCTTAAGGAGCTGGGCATGTTTAGCCTGAAGAAGAGAAGGCTGAGAGGAGATATGATAGCCATGTATAAATATGTGAGAGGAAGCCACAGGGAGGAGGGAAGCAAGCTTGTTTTCAGCTTCCTTGGAGACTAGGACGCGGAACAATGGCTTCAAAAATACAAGAGAGGAGATTCCATCTGAACATGAGGAAGAACTTCCTGACTGTGAGAGCCGTTCAGCAGTGGAACTCTCTGCTTCAGAGTGTGGTGGAGGCTCCTTCTTTGGAAGCTTTTAAACAGAGGCTGGATGGCCATCTGTCAGGGGTGATTTGAATGCAATATTCCTGCTTCTTGGCAGAATGGGGTTGGACTGGATGGCCCATGGGGTCTCTTCCAACTCTTTGATTCTATGATTCTAAGTCTATGGTAGCTAAAGTGGTGAAAAACTGCATTCAGTCTTCAATGTAGATGTACCCCAAATATCTTTCAATGGCAGAGTCTAGAAAGGGAGCCAATTCTTGGCTCTTCAAAGAAGAAAAAGCAAAGATGGGGCTATTTTCCTGACAGCGTGGAAATGTCTAATTATTATCCTTCATATCACTTTGCCCTGCTTTGTGGGTTGCATTTCGTATTGGAAACCTGTCTCTATAGCAGCAACGGCATCGCATTATCCAAGGGAGATAGATGTGGAAGCAATTAGTTGGAGGGAAGAGAAAAACCAAGAGTAAGTGATTCATGCAGAAAGTGGCCATGCAAGGAAGCCAATGCAACCATGGCTCTTGGATATATTCCTGTGCAATGGAAGATTTAGTTTTGTTGTTTTTCATTCGTTCAGTTGTTTCCGACTCTTCGTGACCTCATGGACCAGCCCACGCCAGAGCTCCCTGTCGGTCGTCACCACCTCCAGCTCCTTCAAGGTCAAGCCAGTCCCTTCAAGGATGCCATCCATCCATCTTGCCCTTGGTCGGCCCCTCTTCCTTTTGCCTTCCATTTCCCCCAGCATCATTGTCTTCTCCAAGCTTTCCTTTTTTCTCATTACATGGCCAAAGGACTCCATCTTTGTCTCAAATATCCTTCCCTCCAGTGAGCAGTCAGGCTTTATTACCTGAAGTATGGACTGGTTGGATCTTCTCGGTCCAAGGCACTCTCAGAACTTTCCTCCAACACCACAGTTCAAAAGCATCAATCTTCCTTCGCTCAGCCTTCCCTAAGGTCCAGCTCTCACATCCGTAGGTGACTACAGGGAATACCATGGCTTTGACTAGGCAATGGATCTTTGTTGCCAGTCTGATGTCTCTACTCTTTACTATTTTATCAAGATTGGACATTGCTCTCCTCCCAAGAAGGAAGCGTCTTCTGATTTCCTGGCCACAGTCTGCATCTGCAGTAATCTTTGCACCTAGAAATACAAAGTCTGTCACGGCCTCCACGTTTTCTCCCTCTGTTTCCCAGTTGTCAGTCATTCTTGTTGCCATAATCTTGGTTTTTTTGATGTTTAGCTGCAACCCAGCTTTTGCGCTTTCTTCTTTCACCTTGATTAGAAGGCTCCTCAGCTCCTCCTCGCTTTCGGCCATCAGAGTGGTGTCATCTGCATATCTAAGGTTGTTAATGTTTCTTCCAGCAATTTTCACCACCAGCCCTGCACATCGCATGATGTGTTCTGCATACAAGTTGAATAGGTTGGGTGAGAGTATACAACTCTGCCATACGCCTTTCCCAATCTTGAACCAGTCTGTTGTTCCATGGTCAGTTCTGACTGTTGCTCCTTGGTCCTTGTACAGATTCCTCAGGAGAGAGACAAGGTGGCTTGGGATGCCCATCCCACCAAGAACTTGCCACAATTTATTATGATCCACACAGTCAAAGTCTTTAGAATAGTCAATGAATGAAAGGCTTTAGAATAGTCTTGGGTTGTTGTAGTTTTTTTCAGGTCTAGAGGCATTCTCTCCTGACGTTTCGCCTGCATCTATGGCAAGCATCCTCAGAGGTAGTGAGGTCTGTTGGAACTAGGAAAAAGGGTTTATATATCTGTGGAATGACCAGGGTGAGACAAAGGACTCTTGTCTGCTGTTTCAACCGACCATCTTGATTAGCATATAATGGCTTGACAGTGCCTGGAGCAAACTTTTGTTGAGAGGTGATTAGATGTCCTTGTTTGTTTCCTCTCTGTTGTTTTTGCTGTTGTAATAAGTGTTGCAGACACCTACAACAACTCAGTGATTCCGGCCATGAAAGCCTTCGACAATACATTATTATTATTATTATTATTATTATTATTATTATTATTATTATCTGGTTTGTCGTGCAATTATTATTATCATCTGGTTTGTCATGCAATTATTATAATTGTAATTATAATTATTATCTGGTTTGTTGTGCAATTATTATTATTACCTGGTTTGTCATGCAATTATTATTATTATTATTACCTGATTTGTCATGCAATTATTATTACTATTATTATCTGCTTTGTCATGCAATTATTATTATTATTATTATTATTATTATTATTATCTGGTTTGTCGTGCAATTATTATTATTATTATTATTATTATTATCTGCTTTGTCATGCAATTATTATTATTATTATTATCTGCTTTGTCATGCAATTATTATTATTATTATTATTTGTCATGCAATTATTATTATTATTATCTGCTTTGTCATGCAATTATTATTATTATTATTATCTGCTTTGTCATGCAATTATTATTATTATTATTATTATTATCTGGTTTGTCGTGCAATTATTATTATTATTATTACCTGGTTTGTCATGCAATTATTATTACTATTATTATCTGCTTTGTCATGCAATTATTATTATTATTATTATTATTATTATCTGGTTTGTCATGCAATTATTATTATTATTATTATTATTATCTGGTTTGTCATGCAATTATTATTATTATTATTATTATTATCTGGTTTGTTGTGCAATTATTATTATTATTATTATTATTATTATTATCTGCTTTGTCTTGCAATCATTATTATTATAATTATTACCTGGTTTCTCATGCAATTATTATTATTATTATTATTATTATTATTATCTGGTTTGCTGTGCAATTATTATTATTATTATTACCTGGTTTCTCATGCAATTATTATTATTATTATTATTATTATTATTACCTGGTTTCTAATGCAATTATAATTATTATTATTATTATTATTTAGTTTGTCATGCAATTATTATTATTATCTGGTTTGCCATGCAGTTTTTATTATTATTATTATTATCATCTGGTTTGTCATGCAATTATTATTATTATTATTATTATTATTATTATTATTATTATTATCTGGTTTGCCATGCAATTATTATTATTATTATTATTATTATTATTATTATTATCTGGTTTCGTTTGCATGCAATTATTATTATTATTATTATTATTATTATTATCTGGTTTGCCATGCAATTATTATTATTATTATTATTATTATTATTATTATTATCTGGTTTGCCATGCAATTATGATGATTATTATCTTGTTTGTCGTACAATTATTATTATTATCTGGTGGTTGGTTGGTTGGAATCTCAAGCAAAGCCAAAGGCTGGCGTACAAATTAGGGCTGTGTCTACTTGGCAGAATCATAGAATCATAGATCATAGAATCCTAGAGTTGGAAGAGACCTCATGGGCCATCCAGTCCAACCCCATTCTGCCAAGAAGCAGGAATATTGCATTCAAAGCACCCCTGACAGATGGCCATCCAGCCTCTGTCGTGCGGTTATTATTATTATCTGGTTTGTCATGCAATTATTATTATTATTATTATTATTATTATTATTATTATTATTAATTGCACATCAGGGCTGCTTTGAATGCAATATTCCTGCTTCTTGGCACAATGGGGTTGGATTGGATGGCCCATGAGGTCTCTTCCAACTCTATTATTTTATGATTTTATTAGACACATTCACATAGTATTATTATTGTTGTTGTTGTTATTATTATATTACACACACACACATATATATTATGTATATATACATACACACACAGAGAGAGAGAGAGATCTATATGCACACACACCCATACAGACACACAGACACACTCATATGTATATATATATACACAAACAGATACTAAGTCTCCAAAGCCATTTGGTCCCATCTCCATCTGGAGGGTGGCGGGGAGCGAAGGGTTAACTGCAAAGTGGGCGTGGCTCCGCGCTACTCCTCTCCAGCCTCGCTCTCCGATTGGCCGGGGCTCTGACAGCGGGGCGTGGCCTCGCGCCTTTGCCGCAAGAAAAGGGACCAGACGCGTGTCGGCGGGGAGGGCGAACGTGTGAACGCGTGACGCCGGGGCCAGAGATGCGAGTCGACCGGGCGCCCAGCCCCGGATCCAGCTTTTGGCCTTTTTGCCTTGAGACATCCTCACCGAGACCCATTTGGTTTGATTTGAATGAGAGGATTGGGACGCCTTCCCAGCTGGAGAGAGAGAGCTGAGCCTGCAAACAGTAAGAGATGCCTTTGCAAAAAAATATTGGAATAATATGCAAATTGAGTGGGATTCCTGAAGGAAATGGGGAGGGAAGAGTGTGAGTGTGAGTGTGCAATTCAGGTGCAATGCACAGCATGGAGGGTGTGTGTGTGTGTGTGTGAGAGGGAGTGTGAAAGAGGCAGGCTGGCAGGGATGCTGCTCCTGGCCATCTTTGAAATACCTCTCTCTCTCTCTCTGTGTCTGCATGCACACACACACACATTCACATATGCACACACAGACAGAGACACAAACACATATGCACTCACACAAATATGTATGTATGCACACACACACATATGCACAAATATGCACACACACCCATAGACACACATATATACAGACACATACACACATTCATAGATGCACACACAGAGATATGCATATATGCACACACATATATGCACACACACCCATACACACACATATATGCAGACACATACACACATTCATATATATATATATACACACACACACACATATATATATATACACATATATACATACATACATAGAGAGATCTATATGTGCGCACACACATGTGCAAATATGCACACACATATACACATACACACAAATATATATACACACACAGAGATATGTATATATGTACACACACATATGCACAAATATGCACACACACCCATACACACATATATATACAGACACATACACACATTCATACATGCACACACAGATATGTATATATGCATGCACACATATGCACACACACAACCATACAGACACATACACACACTTATATATATATATATATATATATATATATATATATATATATATATGCACACACACACATATATACATACATATATACACAGAGAGATCTATATGTGCTCACACACATGCGCAAATATGCACACACACCCATACACACACATATATACAGACACATACACACATTCATATATGCACACACAGAGATATGTATATATGCACACGCATATGCACAAATACACACACACACATATACAGACACATACACACATTCATATATATATATATACACACACACATATACATACATACATACATACATACACAGAGAGATCTATATGTGCACACTCACATGCGCAAATATGCACAGACATACACACATTCATATATGCACACACAGAGATATGTATATATGCACACACATATGCACAAATATGCACATATTATTATTTATTTATTTTATTTATTTATTTATTTATTTATTTACTCTCATATACACATATATACAAACACATACACATATTCATATATATATATATATATATATACATACGCACACACACACAGAGATCTATATGTGCACACACACACACACAAATATGCACACACACTCATACACACACATATATACATACATATGCACACATTCGTATATACGCACACACACACATATGCACACACATACACATATACACAAATATATGCACATACATACACACATACAGACACACACTCATATATATACACAGACACAAATGTATATAGACACATACAGACGCACACACAGATATCTGTATATACATCTGAGATATCTGTGTATGCACACGCACATACATACACATATACACACATTAATATATATGCACGGCACACACATTCTACATGCATGCACACATTTATATATGGATGTATATATAGATACACACATATATATGCACATACACACAAACATTTATATATCAATTCACACACACAAATATCTATATATATATCAACAAAACACATACTCATGTGCACATACATATATACCCATACACATCTCTACGCATACAGACACACACATATACACATACAATATATATATATATATTTCACAAATTGACATATACATGTACTTGTCACATGCATGTGACAGTTTTAGTGTCAATATGTGTGTGTGTGTGCATGCACATACATAGACACACATATATGCACACAGACATGCATGTAGGTGTACACACATTAGGCTTTTAATAGCTGCTTCTTGCCATTTTAATATATACATGTACACAAGTGAGACTTTTACATGCACACTATATGTGCACACACAGATATATGCATAAACAATTTATATATATAGCACACACTCTGATAAATATATGCACCCAGACACGCACAGATACATACATACACATGTGAGACTTTTATTGCAGCTCCTTGCAATTTTTAATATATATATATGCACAAACTCTGATACATACATGCACCCAGACACGCATACACACATGCATACACATGTGAGACTTTTATTGCTGCTTCTTGCAGTTTTAAATATATATATGCACACACTCTGATGCATATGTACCCAGATACACACACATATATGCATACACATGTGACTTTTATTGCAGCTCCTTGCAATTTTTAATATATATGTACATACCCTGATATATACATGCACCCAAACACGCACACATACATGCATACACATGTGAGACTTTTATTGCATCTCCTTGCAATTTTAATATATATATGCACACACTCTGATACATACATGCACCCAGACACGCACATATATATATATGCATACACATGTGAGACTTTTATTGCAGCTCCTTGCATTTTTTAATGTATATATGCACACACACTGATACAAGTATGCACCCAGACATGCACACATATATGCATACACATGTGAGACTTTTATTGCAGCTTCTTGCAATTTTTAATATATATATGCACATACACTGATATATGTATATGCACCCAGGCACGCATGTACCCAGACATGCACACACATATGCATTCATATGTGAGAATTTTATTGCTGCTCCTTGCAATTTTTAATATTTATTGCAGCTCCTTGCAATTTTTAATATATATATGCACACAGTCTGATACAGATATGCACCCAGACATGCACACATATATGCATACACATATATGTGAGACTTTTATTGCAGCTCCTTGCAATACATATATGCACACATATATGCATACACATGTGAGACTTTTATTGCAGCTCCTTGCAATACATATATGTACACATATATGCATACACATGTGAGACTTTTATTGCAGCTTCTTGCAATTTTTAATATATATATGCACACACTCTGATACATATATGCACCCAGACATGCACACATATATGCACACACTTGTGAGACTTTTATTGCAGCTCCTTGCAATACATATACGCACACATATATGCACACACATATGAGACTTTTATTGCAGCTTCTTGCAATACATATACGCACACATATATGCATACACATGTGAGACTTTTATTGCAGCTCCTTGCAATACATATATGCACACACTTGTGCACACACATACACGCTATCATTTGGAGTTTGCCTCCCTTCGTATTGCATTTCCCATTTCCCCCTTTCTGCTTTGATTTTTCTATGCACATAATTCACACACACACACACCTTTGCAGACATGTGTGCTTCCATGCATTAGACAGACAGATCTGTGCACAAGTCGGAGCATCCTTCCATCCTAGGCTCTCCGTGGTGGGAACATGGTGAGGATATGATATTTCTTTCCCGTGACTGGGGTGTTTTATTTGGGGAGGGGGCTGTTGTTGGGGATGATGTCATCAATGGGGTGTCATCATCCAGGATAGGTGACGCTGGCGGCATTGGGGTGATCGCTTGGATTTGTATTGGTGGGGGGGGGGGGGGGGGATGCACACACAACATGGCTGCAAATTATGTCATCTAGTTTTTGGAGAGGTTTCTGGCATCACTGACGGTTTGCCATTTCGTTGGGAAGCTGCAGGGAGAGACCCCCTCTCCTCCTTCTCCTCCTCCTTTATAAGGGTTAGGTTCAGCAAAGATGTCCATATATGTCAGGCATATATCATATTATATATATATATGACATGACTCCCATCATCTCCGTCCCTATTATACCTCATCCAAAAAGAGATATGGCATCTTGCACATCAGGTCTGTGGCCGGGTTTCAGAAGCATGAAATCTTACACTAAAATCCTATTAGCCTCTCTATCTATCTATCTATCTATCTATCCATACATACATACATACATACATACATACATACATACACATGCACATACATATATACATGGATCTATACATACATACATATATATGCACATGCATATATATACATGGATCTATCTCATAGGCTCTCCCTTCTGTTGTGCTTTGCTCACCAGCTTCACCCCATAGCCATCAATAATAATAATAATAATAATAATAATAATAATAATAATAATAATTAGCTCTCCCTTCTGTTGTGGTTGACTCACCAGCTTCACTCCATATCCATCAATAATAATAATAATAATAATAATAATAATAATAATAATAATAGTAATAATAATAGTAGTAGTAGTAGTAGTAGAAGTAATAATAATAATAATAATAATAGGGAGATAGGGATGGAACACTATGTTCAGGGAAAAGGTATTATAATTATTATGGTTATTATGATTATGATTATTATTACGAGATAAGAATGGAACCCTCTATGCTCAAGGGTAGAGGTATTATTATTATTATTATTATTATTATTATTATTATTAGATAAGGACAGAACCCTCTATGCTCAGGGGGAAAAGTATTACTCTTCTTCTTCTTCTTCATTATTATGATTATGATTATTATTGGGAGATAGGGTTTATTATTATTATTATTATTATTGGGAGATAGAGGATGGGCTCCATATCCATCAATTATTATTATTATTATTATTATTATTATTATTATTATTATTACTACTACTACTACTACTACTACTATTAGGAGATAGGGATCAATTATTATTATTATTATTATTGGGAAATAGGGATGGGCTCCATATCCATCAATTATTATTATTATTACTACTACTACTACTGCTACTACTAGGAGAAGATAGGGATGGCCTCAATTATTATTATTATTATTATTGGGAGATAGGGATGGGCTCCATATCCATCAATTATTATTATTATTATTATTATTACTACTACTACTACTATTGGGAGATAGGGATGGGCTCCATATCCATCAATTATTATTAT